TTGTAAGGGTGTACGGCGGAAAGTGCCAGCGTCAGCTCTAAAGCCCGTGCGAATGCCATGTGCAGGCCGTGAGGGAGAAGGCGGGGGGCCTGCCGTCTTTTATGTGGCCGCAGGTCAACCGGGCAGCGTGACTACGACGCGACGCGACGCGACGCGACGCGCACGCGCGTATACGAGTTGCAGCCAGCACCTATGCATTGATGTGGCTGTGCGGTCAGTATCCCCGCCGTAGTCTGCTCATCATCTGTGACTGCATGTAGTATACATATGACACCATCTGTGATTTGCATGATACCTTGGTGTCGAACGGTCCGTTGGGCTAAACGTGCGCCATGCGGTGGGCATGTGGTCATCGGCCGGCCGATCGTCTGGTCCCCAGCTGCACCTCCCAGTCCGCTGGGGCGTGGGACCAAAATGGCGGTGTACAGCCATTTTCAAAAATCATGAGCGCGACACCAGAAACGAGATGCGCGTCGTGAATGACCCCAAAGCTGGGTTTGCCGCCAGCACATCGTGTTCAACGACGAACTCTACGATGATGCGCCCTAGGATAGCATGGAAATGAACAAAATACGCGTGAGGAGCTCAGAGGATGATTCTGAGGGGTGGTAAACATGATATTCAAAGGAATTAACGAGCAATTTCCCAGTAGCAGGCAAGGATAGCGTCAGCGAATGTAAACCATGATTATGGACGCTACGTCCAGCAAATCCGGACACAGTCCAGCCTCTGTATGATCAACTATGTGTCCCAGGAGTCTACCGATGTTTTCGACAACGAGATATTTGGGAACTCATCGTCGACTCGTCATTTGGGTAAGACCCTTATATTAGGGTTACTGCCGGCAGCAGCATGGCTCACTGAGGGGCAACCATTGTACAAGTGTACTGCTCCAAATCAAGGTGTAGCCCGCTATCAAGAAGATCCCATAGGCGAGTGGAAGTTGACAGAATGGGTGAAAGACAATCCGCCGGGAGCATCAAGTTGAGGGAACCAGAAACCCCCAGAAACATTGCACATCGTATCTCGAGCTCAAAATCGGGCTAACCTTTGGCTCCCTTATGCTCGGGCACTCCTCAGACAACAACAGCAATACGATCCCGTCGAGATGCCTGAGCTGGCTGACCTCCTGAGCTCGCCGGCATCGCTGATCTGGCGGTGACCCCACTTTAGGGTCGTTCACGACGCGCGTCTCGTTTCTGGTGCCGCGCTCATGATTTTTGAAAACGGCTGTAGCGCTGAACAACGTATGTACATGAGTATATATGTCTAATATGGTCGGGCCGACGCGCCCTTGTTATCGCACCTGCTCGTCTCTGCCTCTCATCCCACTGTGTAGGACAACGTTGGGACAACGTCCTGGGAAAGACCATCGCAAACATGGCAAGTTCACGACGAATCGGGCGCATACTCGTGATCGCGACGCTGCTCCGATCTGTGGCCGCGCTATGGCCCATACCGCGTTCGCTCTCGACCGGAGACACGGTGCTCAAGCTGTCCCCGCTGTTCGACATCGCCACCGACATCGCCCACTCGCCCGATGACCTCCTCGACGCCATCCATCGCACCAAGGTTCAGCTTGCTGGGGACAAGCTCCAGCCTCTCGTCGTGGGCCGAGGCGCGTCCCTGCGACCCGCAATCGCGAGCGCGGGCACGCTCGACACGCTCGTTCTATCTCTCTCTTCCCCGCACCCTCGGTCCACGCGCAGTATCTCCGGAGAAACGACGAGGGATCTATTTGATCGCGACGAGGGATACGCGCTAGTCATCCCGACGAACGACACGGTCGCGACGCTGGTGGCGAACACCACGCTCGGGTTGTTCAGGGGCCTGACGACGTTCAGTCAGCTGTGGTACGAGCAGGATGGGAACGTGTACACGTACGAGGCGCCGATTGCGATCGCCGACTGGCCGGCCTTCGTGCGTACCCCCTTCCGCGCGTCAGTCCCTTGCTCTGTGATCGCTAATTGCCGCCATAGCCTTATCGTGGCTTCATGCTCGACACCGCGAGGAACTAGTGGGTAACGGACGCATTATCTGTAGCATCCACCGACGTCGTTCGACCCAGCTTTCCTGTGGATGACATCAAGCGCACGTTGGATGCCATGAGCTGGGTGAAGGTAACGCCGCACGCTTGACGCGTCGGGTTCCTCAAACTGAATCTGCGACACGTACAGCTCAACACGTTTCATTGGCACGTTGTCGACAGCCAGAGTTTCCCTCTGGAGATCCCCGGCTTTCCCGAACTTTTCGACAAAGGACCTTACTCGGCGAGCGAAACGTACACGACCAAGGACGTCCAGGAGATCGTAGACTATGCGGCACAGGTTCGTCTTCACCTTGCTTCTCCGGCAGGACACTCACCTCCGACCACGTATTGCGTTCAGCGAGGCATCGATGTGGTCGTAGTATGTACAATTCCATCAGAACCTTACCAGGGTCTGACCTGTTTTCACGCGGATAGGAAATCGACACTCCGGGTCATACGGCCGTCATCGCTGAAGCTTACCCCGAGCACATCGCGTGCCTGCACAAGTCACCCTGGTCGCAATACGCAGCCGGTAGGTCGCACATCGTCCCTGCGAAACCGTATTTGCGCCGACCGTACCGCACCCAGAGCCACCATCGGGTCAGCTGCGCATCGCGTCCCCGAAGACGACCCACTTCACAAAACGCCTGCTGAGCGCGGCCGCCGAGCTCTTCCCGTCCTCGCTGTTCAGCACCGGCGGCGACGAGGTCAATATGCGCTGTTACGAGGAAGACGACGAGACGCAGGAGCAGCTCCGCGGCAGCGGGAAGAGCGTCGAGGACGCTCTGAGAGAGTTTACGCGTGCGAGTCACGACGCGTTAAGGGCTCAGGGAAAGACGCCCGTGGTTTGGCAAGGTGCGACGACGCTGCCTTGTCACGCCCGGTCGCGGAGATGGCGCTGACGGTGATTAGAGATGGTTTTGAACCATGATCTCCACTTGCCTAACGACACGGTCGTCATGTGAGTTACAACAGACGACGTGAGCGGGAGCGGGTCGCTGACGCGGCATCGTGTAGGGTCTGGATATCGTCCGAGCACACGGCGTCTATCATCAAACAAGGTTTCCGCGTCGTGCATGCGCCATCCAACTATTTCTACCTGGTGCGTGGTTTGCGCCGCCGTTGCGACGCTGCGTATATATGGTGATGGAGCGCCTCAGGACTGCGGCGGCGGACAATGGCTGGGGAATGATACTGAAGGGTGACTCGTAACCACCACTGCGTCGTACCTCGTTACTCAACCGCGTCCTGCCCCTTCATAGAACGTCGTGGTGTGACCCGTACAAGCACTGGCAAAAGGTACGCTAGAAGCTTCCTCATCTGCCTCGTTCGTTTCGACGCTCATCTCGCGGATATTAGGCATACAGCTTCGATCCGTTCGCAGACCTTCAGGAATCCGAATACGATCAAGTCCTGGGCGGTGAGTCTCGGGGAGCCTTTGACGCACTTTACCCTGTTGACCCGTACGATGATCTGCAGGTCAGCATCTTCTTTGGACCGAGCAGTCGTCGCCGGAGAACCTAGACGCGACGGTGTGGCCCCGCTCCGCGGCGGCGGCGGAGATCTTCTGGACGGGGTCGGCGCTTCCGGACGGCTCGCCGCGCAACGTCCGGGAGGCGCTGCCGCGGATGCACGATCTGCGCTTCAGGATGGTGCGGCGCGGGGTGAAGGCGATCGCGCTGCAGCCGCTGTGGTGCGCCCTCCGCCCGGGACAGTGCGACAAAGTGTGGGGCGAAGGCGTTCATGTGCAGGGGCATGAGACGACGGCGGGGGACGTGGGTTCTTCGCCCATGGACAGTCACGAGAACCAGGCCGTTCTAGCGGAGGACTGATAGACGCCGACAGCAGTATGTATTAGAACTCGGGAATCCAAATTGAACCGATGGGGTTTGACCACGGATTGCACTGATAAGTACCCGTGATGCAATACTATTGACGACTTCCATGCGCAGGTATCATTTCTTCTACTCACAGAGAAACCGAACTTACAGCGGCGATGTGCCGTCACCAAGGCTCGACAACACCTTGCTAAGTATGTGACGGACCTGGTATCGAGGCCCTCGGGTCGATGCCGTCATTGGAAAGCGAAAGTTTGAATCGGGATTGGATTCGCACATTCATTATGTGCAACCGAAATGAAGTCGAGTGTGAGAAGTCGCCTTTCAATTGAATTCAATACACTACGTACGTACTATCTCCGTACACCGATACATGCGTCACTCCTCCCCGATTGGATCCAGTTCGCCCGATAGAGGGCTGTCTCACGTATTCCACCCGGCCGTCTGATAGAACGCGTAAGGGACTCGAGAGAAAGGGTCGATTAAGTTGAGGTCGTTCATCTCACGTGAGGTCGTCGATCGCGTCTCGTCCCAAATAGGGGCCCTCGGTGTCTCCACCCGTTCCGGTACCCGCAGGACAGAGAAGGAACCGACGGTGGGGACCTGAGCTGGCGATGCCGGGGCGCGATATCGTCCCCCGATTACACTGTACCGTGAGCCTCTCTTCTCTCCTCTGATTGCGCCTTCATCCACGACGACGACGACGACGACAGGGCCTCGCGGCTACGTAACGCCACGCGTTCCTGAGAGCGATCGGGAGTTCTGGACGTTCGACTCGATCCAGGATATCAGTCAGGGACACGATCATTGCTGCCCTGGCGCGTAAGTAGAGTGTGCCCTGGGGTAATAAGACTCGAGCGCGACGCATCAGTGCGTGCGGCTTGGAGGGCAGGTTGCTCGTGGTGCGTGTCCGACCTCCTCACTTCGCTGCCTGAGCCACGGAGTATCCGCGTTGATAGCGTTCTGTTTGTTGACCCCGAAGCAGGACAACGCCATGTCCAAGCTCTTGCCACGCATTCGCAAACGAACCAAGTCTACCACCACCGATGTCTCATCTTCGCTCGATAGCACGACGCAGCCTGCTGCGACTTCCTATGCGCCGACTCCACCCTCCGCGTCTCTTTGGCTCAGCGAGTCTGGAACGGAATACTCTCCTGTGGAGCCCTCGCTGTACACCCAGACTTCTGTGGACGTGGAGCGCCGCATACACCACGATCTGAATGCACTCGCGGAGGAACTAGATTCTCAAGAGGGGAAAACGGAGATCGCTCACAGTAGACGGAGCCAGGTCTCGCTCACAGGTCTGAGGCCCGCGAAAGTATTCACGAAAAATTCCGCAGTCTTTAGTCTATCCCGGTCATCCGTCGAATCGCAAAATCATGGGCAGAGCACCCTCGCCAGCACCAGCAAGATAGACACCTCTGCGCCCGAACCCGCACCCTCCCCATCGGAGCACAGGCGGCATCATCGGAGATGGGCCACCTTCGGGCGAGAGAACCGCAAGTCGAGCGCGGCGCAAGCTGAGAACGTGTGGGCTTCCTCATCGTCGCCGACGCATGTGAGCAGAACGTCGCTGCCTCCGAGCGCGTACGTCTCCCCGCACTCGATGCCCGCGTCGCAGAACCCGAGCGCAAGCGCGAGCAGGAGCTCGTCGATATCGTACGTCACCGCCAGCCCGAGCAGGCGAAGCTCGACCGGCGCGGTGCACAGTGGCGCGCAAGGCTCGCCGAAGATATCCTTCCCGCCCATCCTGCTCACGCGATCGAGCACGGCCAACACCGCGCCTTCGTCCAAGTCGCGCTCGTCCGGGTCTTCGCGGTCGAAATCACGCACCTCGCGCGCGCCTGCAGCGCCCTCGTCGTCGTTACCGCCGCAGACGCCGACGCGGGATCAGCTGCGTGCGCCGGCGGTGCAGGTCACGCCGTCCCAGGCGTCGGGGAAACCATCGACGATCAACTCGGATTTTACCTTCGGGCAGCCTCTGCCTGGCCACGCGAGAACATCGTCCTTCACTCCCGTCGTAGATGCCCTTCCGGAGCATCATCGCCCGCCGGATATCCATATTTCTGCTATATCGACGACGTCCGTAATGGACTCGCCGACCTCCATGACGACCCACAGCACCAGCACGAATACCGCTTCTTCCGATTCTCCTACGAAAACGACCCATAGTGAACATGGCGGGACATTTCCCCGCACGGTCTTGACCCGAATCGCGAGTGCGGTCGGTGGACCCCCCTTCGCGTCGGCATCGGCGGGTTCGTTGCCCGAACACGATGTAACGAGCACGCACGACCATCATGAACATCTTCATCAAGATTTACTACCCTTCCCGATGCAGGTGAGCGGTTCCTCCAGCGGCGGCGGCGGCGGTGACGGAGGTAAGTCGGGCACGAGGAGCGAGAGCGTGGGAGAGACCACGGGTGTCGCCGAACCACGCGTTAACCGCGTGCCTGATTGGGAGGAGGCCGCGAGGGAGGTTTCTCCCTCCCGCATCCCTCCTCTTCTTTCACCTCCTCCCCAGGCCGAGTCTCCGACCCCCTTCGACGGTGCTTATCCCTGCTGCCTATCTTTGTTTCTCGATAACCGCGTGCAAACATGATGAGCTCACTTTTGGCTTGTTTTTGATCTGATTTAGGAGGCGCTCATCCTGACCGCCCTCGCGACGATACCCACGCCTTGTTCTCTGCCAGCGTGCTGCAAGAAGAGGCCGAAGAGCAAGCGCAGCGCGCCATCGCCATCGCAGGGTCATCTATGGTCACCTCAAGCGCTCCAATTTCTCCAGGATCGGGCTCGTCGCGCCAGCGCACCGCGACGGCCAGCCCGCCCTCGACGCCGCTCCAGGCGATCTTCAAACCGCCGTCTCCGTCACCCCAAAACGGATCTTTTCCGCCCTCCCCAAGCCCGCTCCAAAAATCATTCGAAGGGGCCGCGGGAGCCACTTCGTTACCTAGACGCCAATCTGCTACGCGCGTGCAGTCTCCACTACGGCCGGGCGTGCTGCGGTCGACGACGGATCCGAACGCGACGCCGGCGAACAAGGGCAAGCGGAAGGCGGACGATGATATAGAGAGGACTCCGCCTGAGGAGCGGGAGAGGAAGGAGAAGCAGCGGACGACGTTCGCGCCCGATCCTCGAGGTGTGTTGCCCGCGAGCGATTTGTTCGCACTGGAGCACGAACGCTGACGACTACCCTTATTCTCCTTCCCTTGTGCGCTAGTCCAACGCATATCGAACACGGACTCGTCGCATGCTCCGTCGTCTTACCACAGAAAGCGCCCGCGAGTGTCGAACCAGACCGCCTCCTCGTCCTCCAGCCGGCCCGCCATCACCGAACATCCCAGTCGCGACGGATCGTGGACTAGCCGATCTAGCGCGCCACCAAACGCGATCAGACCGCCCTCGCGCACCAAGTCGACGCGCTCCGACCGGCGCGCGATGTCTCCGGCGGCGCCCGCGGACGAGCGGGAAGACTCGCGCTCGGGCGTGTCGATACCCATCAGCGCGCTGATATCCCCCCACGCGCCGTCGATCGTGTCGACCCCAGGACAGCGGTCGTCGTATCACATGCGTGACCCGCGCCGACCGCGCGTGCGTCCGACGCCGTGGGCGCTGTCCTTCGGGGCCGGCGAGGACGGCTTGGGCAGCCCCGTGCAAGCGTGGATGTTTTTCATCGGATTTATACTGTTTCCGCTTTGGTGGCTCGCGAGCGTGTGGCGGATACCGGAGACGAGGAGCGTGGGCGGGCACGATGCGGCGGAGAAGGCGGTCGTCGTCGACGATCCGCAGATCGAGCATGGTGAGCGTCGTGTCGCGGGCACGTTCTCTTGCGTGCGCGAAAGCTACGGGCGCTCATAACGTACGGACAGATGCACGCACTTGGCGCTTTCGCTGTCGGATCATGGCCGCCATCTCTTTGGTCACTTATATCCCGTTCATCGTCCTCGTCGCCATCTTTGCGCCTCGGTGACCCCAAGCCCCCGTATATGCTGTCCTCCTCCTCCTCCTCCTCCCTCCTCTCACCCGCTCCGCCATCAACGCTCTGCAATGCTCTCGAGCTTCCGCTATGCTATGCTCTCTTCAACCCATCATTGTTGCCTTCGTCACCACCGTCGACTACAGCACATGCGCACCTTTCCCAATGCGCCTCGAACCACTCAAAGCCCGGCCTGGACACCTCTTCGTCTCTATATCTATGTATATCGTCACCGGACGCTCAAACGCACACATCGCACCACACAAATCCCACTCTCTTGAACAATCACTGTCTTTTCACTTTCCCTTGTTTATGCGTCCTGCCGCGGCTGGGGCATGTAGCATACTGTCCCCTCCTCCACCGTGCGGCAATCGTGACCCCCAATTTCGTAATGTAAGTATATTAGTTGCCAGTGTACGAGGAAGGGCGATGATACTCGAGATATCGCGCTCTTTTGTACCCGCATTAGTATGGTCGCTTGTCCTTGGTTGTGTTGTGTTTGACCACGCTCATAGAAATGCAATGTTGTTGATCCCGTTGGCTCATGCTACTGAACTAGACGCAAATAAAACTGTATCTACCGGTAACTTGCATACATTCACGTTCTTGCCCCTCGGCACGCTGAAAGGGATCCGTACCTTCGATCTACAATTGACATAGCCACGGTTTTGCATGGACGACGCCGTGCGCCTGGGCCGCCTTGCCCTCTTCCTCGAGTCCGCACTCCCCAAGTCGATCCTTGTTCGCCACCCGAACGATCTCGGGGATGTCGACCAGTTTGTTGTTCCAGATGAATGGAGTGCGTGGTGGGACTGGGCAGCGCGTCCGCCTGCGCGGAATAGGGCCAAGTGGTTGACCCTTCTCGACTATTATCAACGTCCGAGTACGTCTGTCGTCGTCGCTGGAGAAGGATATCTGACCGCAATAGGCTGGTATAGGTGACGATCGTATTGACTATGCCTACGATGACATACCAACTAACCTGCGGAATACGATAGACGCCGTTCGCGAACTCCAACTCCCCCGTAGACTGGACGATTGGTCTTCGAGTTCCTCCCAATGCACATCGCATTCTGCTCCTCAGCCACTCGATGGAACAGTATCCACACTGCTCGTCAATTATCCTGGAATGTCGCCCAAGAAAGCGCACGAAGTCGGTCGGATGACATCCTACACGTCGTCCCTCCTCTCATCCGAAGGGATGTCGCGGATAACGCACGTCGTCGATGTTGGTGCGGGACAGGGACATCTCTCTCGTGCTTTACAGTCGCTTGGGTTGCACGTTCTTGCGCTCGATGCGAGCGCACATCAAACGGCAGGCGCGGAGAAGTGGCAGAAAGGTCGACGCACGTTGAACAAGAACGGGAAAGCGCAACTGCCTGCCGTCGTCAACGCGGAACCGTCGCCCTCGGGCACGATTACGCGCAAGACCGTACATATAACTCCCGAGACCTTGATCTCTGCCGTCGATGAATGGGCTAATTCTGTTTCCACGGAGGGCGAGCCGCCTTCGGTTCTCTTCATGGGTCTTCACGCGTGCGGGTCGCTCACGCCCGACATCCTGCGCGCCCTGCTTGCATCTTCTGACTCATCGCGGCAAGATTGGCCACGTCCGTGGAAGGCAGCAGGCGCCGTCGTCGTCGGGTGCTGCTACAACCTCATGTCGCCTTCTGGTACGTCTTCCCCTCCCGCTCTTCCTTACCATCGTTCACAAACTCCGCCTCTCCCCAGACTTTCCGCTCTCAAACATACTCCGGAAACAGGGCGCGCCGGGGCTGGGTCCGAACCACCTCCAGCTCGCTGTCCAGGTCCCGCAGCACTGGGCCGGCGCCGAGCTGTCGATGCGACGCGTTGTATGGCGTGCGCTGCTCGTGCGCGAGATGATCCGGCGGGGTATCTCCAGCGCGCCCGTGCATTCCTCGTCGCCCACGCCAACCTCCGAAGCCCAAACGACGGCACCAAAACGCTCTCTGGGCGGAGCTCCCATCCTCCGCGACGACGCGCAGCCCGAATCGTCCCGCGGCCTCAAATACGGTGGGGCGGAAGTACCGGGATGGCGTGACGGCGATATCAACGGTCGTCGGCGCCTTGGTAAGCTGCATGAGACGGCATACGCGAGTTGGGAGACGTATTTGAGAGCGGCGGGCGAGAAGATGGGTGTGGACTTGACACGCCCTGTGGATGACGAGACGGAAGTTGGTGAAAAGGATGAAGTGAAGGAAAGGGTGGCACTTGAGCGGAGACTGGAGGTGTTCCAGGTACTGCGATGCGTGTTGGGACCGGCCATCGAGGTTGGCGAGCTCTGTCCTCTTCCGCCTTCTTAGGCCACCTATTGACTGGTTCCTTTGCTATAGAGCACTATCATCCTCGATCGCCTGATGTGGCTCCGCGAGTCACTCGATGCCTCGCCATCCTCCGGCAGCAGCGATATTGGTCGGCCGCGCTTGCAGGCGCGTCGCGTGAACTTGTTCGACCAGGCGACGGGGAGCGGGCGCAACGTTGCGTTGGTTCTATCTCCTGTCCTTGCGCCCGTATAGCCCTTCTCTATCACGCATATGTTGTTTGATCTGGAGCTATTGGCTCGGAAATAGTACTCACCGAGTTCGTGGCTGTGCCACGCCTTCTTTCAGTCTTCAGCCTTCTCCCTTGGTGTCATGAGAGCATCCAAGCGTGCTCGCCATTGAATCTGACGCCATCGACGTTCACGACATTCAACGTGTTAAATATATGGAGTACGAGGCGACTGCGGCGTCAAGCTTGATCTGGAGCGAACGCTTGCCATCGCGAACACCATGCCTGGAGTGCTGTCTGACATCCCCCGATGGGAGGCTCCGCCTACTTCGACCAAAGATTGTAAGCCGGTTGTCCATTCGGAGGATTGATATCGTGTGGTAACCTTATCTACAGTTGATTACGCTGGGTTGCAAACGCTCGACCTTTCCACCGTCACAGGCGACGAGTATGAACAGGTCCCTGCAGACGTGGTCAAGACAATCGGAGAGGCGCTCTCGCAAGACGGTTTTATCTACGTGACAAACCATGGGCTGCGGCCTGATGAAGTTCAGCGGTGCATATCTCTGACTATCATTCGCAGCCTGTAGCCTCATTGAACCGCGCGATAGGCAGTTCGATCTTGCGCAGTACGCCTTCGACGGGGTCTCCGAAGCCGACAAAGCCAAGTACGCGGCGAAAATCAGCGAGACGGGGGACTACACGGGGTACAAGCCTCGCGGACACTGGAAGCTGCGCGGCGTCCCGGACCAGATCGAGCACCTCGGCCTCGGCGATCGCGCGTTCAGACCGGGAGAGCGGGAGAACGTCTTTCCTCCTGCTTTGCTTCCGTTCGCGGACGAGATAGCGGCGTTCCGGCGGGTGCGTACTCAAAACTATCTTGTACGGTTCGTGTTCGCTGACACGTTGGTCCTTTGGTATCCAGTATAACCATATTCACATCTTCCGGAAGATCCTTACTGTGCTCTCGTTGGTGCTAAAGTTGCCTCCGACGTATCTATGGAATCTTGCGAACGAAGAGTCAGGCTTGTTCCGTTATGCGTTGTATCATCCACCTCCTCAGGAAGACGACGTCAAGACCGACGGAGTGCGGTTGCAAGGCCACTCGGACTTCCGAAGCGTGACGCGTACGCACAGCGATATCTCATCTCTCGTGACTGGTGCCAATATCGACGGCAGTGCTGTATTCGCAACCGATCGTCTCTCTGCAAGTGCTTGTACGCACCTCTATTACTCGTCTTTTGTAGGACGATCTGACCTCACAGACGAGTAGATGCCCGACAATGTCTGGCGGTACGTGCGGCACGTACCAAACGCCCTCGTGCTCAATCTCGGAGACGCTACGCACTGTTGGTTGACTGCATTGCCCTATGCCTAGATTATACTCATAAAACCTCTACAGTCCTCTCTGGCGGTTACCTTAAGCCGACCATACATCGTGTCGTCTCGCCTCCCGACCCGGACCAAGCGAAGTACCGCCGCCTCGGAGTCTTCTACTTTGCGGCGTACAACCCCGACGTCCGTCTCGTGCCGCTGACGCAGTCGCCCGTCGTTGCAAGCACCGGAAAGACGTTCTTCAACGAAGGACGGGACGCTCCTACGGCATGGCAGTGGGAGAAAAGCCGCGTCAGGGCCTACGGGCAAGACGGGGAGAAAAAAAGGCTCGACAACGGACACGAGGAGGAGGCGATGATCGGAGGTGAAAAGGTACGTGTATATGCATCTCCGTCAAAATCCGCTGGGCTAACGGGGATGCGTACAGGTTGTGCATTACAACTGATATGAAAGGCGCTAGAAACAGCATATCCCGACTCCCCCGAAGGTGGGAGTTGGCTGTTGCACTGGGAGTTGTCACAGTGACAAGGGCTGTGACCCAGCCAAAGCGTGATGAAAGCGTGACAAAGTGTGATTCCGCCAGTGCGGGCGCCTAAATTGCGATGGACGCAGCAGCGTGACTTTTGAAGACGTGGGAAGGCTGACATAAGTGATGAGTATCAGTGCCGGAATCTGATTGATCACATTGCCGAGATGCCGTGATTTGATTCCCAGTGATCGTGTGAGACTTGAGTCAGTTACATAAGTCTATTGGGGCCTGCGTTGGGCTTATGTAAGGAAATGACACTTTCCAAAATTGGGCAAGGCTGGGCGCCCATCAAGCCCACGTGCATTGTGTCATTGTTCCCACTCAGCATAAGTTTGCAGATGACCACGGGCCTTCCCTGCTTCTGCACAACTGGCCCACCCTAATCCCGGCCACCCACTGTGTGAAAGCTGTGCTGCCGCACACAGTGGCGGGCAACATCAAGCTCACCTGGTCGAGTCTCAGCCTGTGGAGGACAGAAGTAAAGTGACTTGAATTGTAACACATAGACAGCTCTGTATAACTACAATGGATGGCTATGCAATCACAATCATATGCTAGGATGTCTGAATGGATGGAGTCCTCTCTGTGGTTCTTGCTGGAATCAAATAGGTATTTGATTCTCACATGCATCAAATAGGC